TTATATGTATATAAAATGTTTTTCTTCTAGATGCTTTCATTTGTATTTGGTCCACATTTTCTTCATAATGATATTTTGATGCAACTTGTTCATCTTTTGGAATTGGAAGATGAAATGGTGGCACCGTTGGTTCTTTCGATTTTCACATTTTTAGGGAAATATAAACCTTTATGTGATGTTGCACCGGATATTATGAACCTTATGGTTCCAATATGTAAAAATTTCGCAGAAACAGGAACACCAAAACAAGCAAAACAAGCTGTCAGGTGTTTATTTGTTAATATGACCAATATTCATGATACTATTTTCCCTGAAATTATTGAAAGAATTAAAAATAGTCTTACACCAACTTCAGAATATTATCGAACATCTATAGTTACATTAGGTCACATAGCTTATAATTTACCAGAAAAGTATCAAGTACAAATAAAAAATATGGTGTCTAGGAAGGTAAGTTCTGCTAAATATTATATTATTATTTCAAACTTATGATAATGTGATTTAGTTCAGATTAAGTGTGCTGAATTTATAGATAGTCAAGGAGTTATTAGTGAAAGAAAGCAGTGAACAAACTGCTGATACCATTGAAGGAGACTGGTGCAGGGAAGATCAATTACCTGAAGAAACACGTTGTAGATTAGAAGGATTGAAGTGCATGGCACGCTGGTTACTAGGATTGAAGACTGATGTGCTCTCTGCACAAAAAACGTTTAGAATGCTGAATGCATTTGTAGTAAACAAAGGAGATCTTTTGCAGCAGGGTCGTTTAAGTAAAGCAGAAATGAGTTGGTTGCGCTTACAAGCTGGTTGTTCAATGTTGAAGATTTGCGAACAAAAAGGCGTAGGTGATCAGTTTACAGCAGAACAATTCTATAATTTATCTCAGCTCATGGTGGTACGTTTCTCCAAACTATGATTTATTGATTTATTTCTTAAAAATAAATTTTGCATATTTGTATGTAAATAGAGAAAGAAAATTGATTAAAAATATTGTGAAAATGTATTTTTTTCATAGGATGAAGTTCCACAAGTGAGGGAAGCTTTTGGTAGCAAATTACATAAAGGACTTGGAAGAGGAATTCCAAATAAGTGTTTGCCACTAGACTTTATGGGTTATTATGCACTTGCTGGTAAAGAACAAGACAAAAGATTAAAATGTGTTTTAAAAACTTATATGCAAACTGATATAAATAAAAGGAGAGATTATGTTAAGACATTGTCATTGGGTACAGTGGAACGGGCCATGGGTAAGAAACTAAATAGTAAGGCATTATCGAAATATTGTTTAATATTATTCTTTTATTATTAAACACGTATTATTAGAAAAAGATAAATATAAAATATTTTATTCAATTGTTATTACAGGTCAACTGCCTCACATTCTTCCTGATTATATGCTAGTATTTGCAGTCCCTATTCTTGCACATGATCCTGAATTTACAAGTCATTTGATGGTTAATCAGTTGAAAGTGATACAACAATGTTTGTGGTTTATATTAGAACCCCTTATAACGAAAAATGAATATTATTGTTATGGTTTTTATAAAAATCTCATAGAACGAATGAAGAGTCATAAGGATGCTTTAAAACCTGAGGATAATAACATGAATTATGTAATTATAACAAATTATTTATTATTTATGAATCAGGTATAAAAAGCTTATATTTACTATGTACTTGCAGAAATTGTGGGCTGTTTGCGATTTGGCTATGAATGTGATATATACAAAAACGACAAATTTCGATATGAAAGAATTTCCAAGTGAAACACGAATTCCCACCATGTACTTCAAACGAGCGGATGAATTATTGACTAACACTAGGAATTACTTACCTGCTGAAATGCAGATAAACATGTCGAGTCCTAAAGGAAAGGGTTCTCTTCATAATACACATTCTGTCAGTGAAAGACCACAACGTAGGGCTAAGTCCAAACAACAGAAGGAAGTGGGCATTGGGCCGAACGAAACTGATGCAAGGGTAAGACAACTAAAATAATGTATAGGATAATTTTAGACACAGTATGATTTAGAGTAGATTCTTATATATATGTCGGAGGTGAAAAGACATCGGGTGACATAATGAGTTCTCCTAAAAAACAGAGATTGACCCGAGGAGTGGGAAAAGGACTATATAAGGGCAGTTCGGTGACTCATTATGTCACCTCGAGCCCAAACCCATCGTCATAAACCTTAAGTGACCGCATAACTATTTCTTCGCTTATTTTTTAAATGTCGTTGTCGTAAACATCTGGATTGGGGTATTGGGTTTTTCCGAACATTCTAAAGAAAGGTCCCGTTGTCCTTTCATCTCCGACATATACATTACGTTTGTAATTTTTATATGAACGATATATATATATCTAAATAATAGTCTTAAAAAGTCTATGAGTATATGTAATTTCAAGCTGCAAATTGGAGAAGTGGAATGTATTGATGCGCAGGTAAAATTATTTTTAATACATTTATATTCAACATCTATTTCTCTTTTGCAGTATATTATACTTCATATTTCAAAAATATAAAGTATATGTATTATATTTAATATATTATATTTACTTACAGCCAGCGGAAGCATCGGAAACTAGAATTCAATTACCTGGTTTAGAGGAAGAAGTAAGAAAAACATATTTATGATTGTAATTTGATATATAGTAAAGATATGATTTTTCAGATTGAAGAACCACCAGCAAAGAGGGCATTAAGAGAATCAGACAAAGTAAATAAATAATTAAGTGAATGAACTGTATTCAAAGGGATGTTAGGAATAGGGGAAAGACCGTGATCATCATAAGAATTAAAGAATCTAAAAATACTTTACAAATTAGAAAACAGAATATTTTGATTATGTACAACAATTAATAAACCTGTCGTTCGCGTATGTCTAGACAGTAAGATGTTAAGATAATGATACATTAACGTCAAATAATTGATACATATAAGCTTACAAGTCAAGAAACTTCATGAAGTTGCATCGCATTCATAAGGAAATTAAAAATTTACTAACTGATCATATAGAAAATATTTTTCTTTCAATTGTAAAAAAAAAAAAAACATAAACTTGGTTTGGTTCTAATTTCTCTACACGTTAAAAAAAGCAATGGCACATTCATTGATAAAAAATACAATCCTTTGTATAATTAATAACTGTTTAACCACCATCTTTTTTACATAAGTCTTCGAAAATATTTCCCTTTCTTTCTTGTGAAACATCTGACAATTGTTGTATTGTTCACTTTTGCATTGACGAATACAAATGTTTATATATACTATTTCATGTGCATTTTTCTTCATAGATTAATGAGATTGTATACAAAATTTTTGTAACAAACTATTCCAAATAGTAAAATCCTTACACGATATCATCAAACTTAATTGTAGTTTTCAGAAAAAAGTAATCGAAAACCACATTTATTACATGAAATACATCGAAATAATACACTTCATTAAATCTTTACACGCAGAAGAGAACAACATAACGTTGTTGGATTTCTGTGAACATCATGTACTAAACAAAAGGGTGTGTGTCAATTGGCTTTGTGATCCAAAGTTGTTTGATTCTATTAATCTGATTATCATTATTATTATATTATATTATAATTAAGATTATTGCCTTAATGCTATAATTATTTTATTGAAAGAATGACAATTTTGATAATCATTATTTCCTGAGAAAATATGTATTTTCTTATAAAATTATCTGTTTATATTTTAACCCAAAAATTAATGTAAATGAGATTTGGTCAGCGCACGGCCACTAATTATTAATTTATTTCAGACAAGCTGTGCTTATAAATACTTCAATAGTATCTAATAAATGTATACATATAAATATTTTCAACGGATAGTGCGCATTAATATAAAAAATAAACGTAAAAATTTTTGTTATACAAAAGTATCGACAATGCACCACTAATTCAATAATCAATTGAAGTTTATCATCATCGAATGTGACAGTTATTCTTCCATCACTGTCATTATTGTATATGTATTATAAACTTACTTTCGTATCACTTTAATTCAAATTTGTATCCAGAACATATATTTGTACAAACAATATAGTAAATGTATTATTCCGATATCTCGAGGAATTGTATACATACTTTGAATGGTTTAAATACTTATATTTTTATTTCGTATTTTATAAGATGTTGAAAAACATTCATTGCATTTATAAATATTTATATAATAGTAATTTCACATATTACCAATTGCTTTAAACATAATGTATTCATTTAAAAATATATTTTATTTCATAACTACAGTAAACAAAAATAAATGAAACTTTTGAATAAATATAGATTAAGTGTAAAATTCTATAGAATTTACTTAATATTTAGAGTTAAAAATAAATAATCTCATACCTTTTTGTTATTAAAAAATTAGGAAATTGGATACAAATTTGAATAGCATTAAAATAATTTAAAATGGGCCTAGGTTTTATAAAATTTCCTTTGTCATCATTAGAATTCTTAGTATTAAGCATTAAATTGTATTAAACATTAAGATGAGAATGAGAATTGTGTATGAGGCTGTGAATGGTGATGTGTGTTTGATCTTATTATATAAACATTATAGAATTAACACATACCTATTACCTCTTCACTGAAATTACAGTACAATGCAAATCTTGCAGTTTTTAATTTTTTAAACATTCATAAAGGTCATTCTTTATTTTTCATATATGTACAAAGCATTGTTCATAAGTCATCGGCAGTGCATTGTTACTGTTCCAGCTTCATGAAATTTAATTCGATATTTCTTGAAATAATTTATAAGTTCAAATTGTTTTGGATTATATATTTTATCTTATAGTATTATTATCAAACATTTGCTTCTATAAGTATTTAATTGCATAGTACTGCAATTTTTTCAAACAGGTTATAGACTACAAAATATACATATTCTGATGAAAAAAACCAATTAATCAGTGCTATTCATCTGTCAGTCTGTGAGACATAAGTGACGCATTGTAACGGTTCTATAATAAAACAAATTAAGTAAAATGGTATGTATTTAATAAGATATAGTTACAAATATCAAAATTAACGTCTTTTAAAATTTGATCTACTATCCTTTTTTCCTATGTTTAAACTTTTTGCACTTTTTCTTTTACTTTGATTTTTTTTAACATTTGCCCTAAAATAAATAAAATAATTACTTATAAAAGCATTATTATGTATGTTTCTAAAAATAATATAATGATATGTAATATTTTATTTTACCTTACTTTAATAAAATATACTTACTCGTAACGCATTTTTTTCACAGCTTTCTTGCTTGTATTTGTTAAGTCAGCAGCAAATGAAGATTTTGGCCGTTTTAGCGATGCTGAAATCGAATTGAGATTATAGAAAAAAAAGATAAGATCCAATCTTTCATAATTAAAATGAATAATTTACTAGATGAATAAATTACTAGAACTTACCTTTTCTATTAGATGAAAATTTATCATTCTCTACAACTGTCCGGATTTTATTTTGTTTGTTCTTTCTCTTAGCTAGTCTTGCTTGGTATGCTGCAATTTTTTCTAATTCTTTTTTGGCTCTATCCTCTGCTGTTTCCTGTTTAGGTTCTTTAGATCTCTTTTTCTTTTCTTCAATTATGTTTGATGGCTCCTTGTTTTGTTTCTGCCCTTTATTTGTGTTTTGTTTTTCAGTCAATGATAATTTCTCTAAAAATGATATAAATTATTTTGATAATGTGTACATGTATTCCATGTGAAATTTTGAATAGCTACAATTTCAAATACGAAAATTAATGGATTGAAAATTACCTTTTTCTTCTTTTCTTTCTTTCTGAGTTTGGAACCAAGTTCTTTGAGTACCTTTATTACTTTCATTTTTTAATAATTTTTCTGCTCGATTTGCTTGATTTTCTATCTTAGCTAATTCCCTTTCATTTCGTTCTTCTTCTAAAATTTTATTTACATCGGTTTCAAGAGACTGTAATTTTTTAGAATATTTGTCGATTATATCAGGAAGTATTATTCGATTCTTTACTGGATTTTTTGCATTTTTAATAATTTCTTTAACCAAAGAACGTTCTTGTTCTCCAGCTAGTGATACTGACACTCCAACACGACCAGCTCTAGCTGTTCTCCCAACTCTAACAAATAAATAAATAAAGCAATTAATTTTTTTTATATTGGGTACTTGTAAAAATTCACAATCAAATTAAATATTGATACCTATGAATGTAATGTTGCATGGTAACTGGCATTACGAAATTAATTACAGTTTTTACCCCACTAATATCTAAACCTCTTGCAGCAACATCTGTTGCTAATAAAATATCTATTTCTTCATTTTTAAATTTTGTTAAATTTTCTAGACGTTGTGGTTGTGTAAGATTACCATGAAGTTCTCCTACCTATCAAATTATATATAATAATGATTTAAAAGATTACCTTTTACTTTTTACTGCAAACTTCAATATACTTTAATATTTATTAGAATAAATTATATTTTAAATACCTTGATGCCTAATAACCCTAATAAAATGTGTAATCTATGAGCTTGTTTTTTTGTTTGCACAAAGACCATGACATGATCATGAAAGGTTCTACAAATTAGGGCCGCCAAAATTGCCTCACGATCTCCTTCTCTTTCTTTTCGTATCCTATATTAAAAGTATATAAAAAATGAATATATACATACATTAAACAAGAACATAAACATGATCAATTAATTGCATAAGATATAATTTTACCGAATAAATTCTTGGCGTAAATTAAAAGCAACGTCTTGATTGCTATCTACAAAAACTTTAACTGGTTTATCTAAAGATACAGCAGCCAAATCTTTCACTTCTTCAGTCATAGTAGCTGAGAATAAAATTGTTTGTCTGCTTCTTGAACATTGTTTTACTATGTACTTCATCTGTTCTGCAAAGTATTCATCTAACATCCTTATAAATAAAAAAGTATATGTATATAATCTTCCAATTATAAATTAATAAAAGGAATATAAAGCAAATAGTCTTTTTTCATTTACCTATCTGCCTCATCTAATATAAGCACTTCAATGCTGTCTAATGAAAACGATGGCGTATTTCTTAAATGATCAATTAATCTTCCTGGAGTAGCTATTACTATATCTGGATTCTTCCTTAATACAGCCTCCTAATTTTAAAGTAGTAGTAAATTAATAAAGGATTATTTCTTAGTATAGTGTTCATTTACTAATATTTAAGTTTTTCACAATATATCAACATACTTGAACTTTCACATCTAAACCACCAACAGATAATCCTACTTCAATTGTTGTAAATTGAGATAACTGTTTTGTAACTTGATACACTTGCACACCAAGTTCTCTTGTTGGAACAAGTACAAGAACACGAGAAATAGAAGGACCATCTAATGGCCTATATAATAATCTTTCTAGTGTTGGTAACATATAAGCTGCAGTTTTACCAGTACCTGTAGCAGCACAACCACATATATCACGACCCATTAATGCAACAGGAATGGTAGCAGCTTGTATAGGTGTTGGATGCACAAAATTCATGGCTGTTATAGCCTTTAAAGAATATGTATTATGAATTAGATATTATATTAATATATATATTAATAATCAAATACTAACTTAAAATCTATGTAACATAATATATTGATATACAATACCTTTAATAAAGGACGCGACAAATTCATTTGGTAAAATGTTGCATGAGTTTCTATATTTGAATATTCCTCAAAGTTAATTGTTTCTTCATCATTTTCTTTAACAACCACTTTCTTTTTGCTTTTCTTTTCTTTAGTTTTAAATATATCTAAAATAAAACATTTATATTTCTTTAATCGAGTTTACATTATAAAGGAAAAAATATTGTTACCTTTTCTAAGCTCGTCTTCTGATAAAGATAGTTCATCATCTTCTTTTTTAATTTCAGATAAGTCTATATTGGATTCGTTATCTATTTCATTCTGAAGAAAGAATATATAAATATAACGTAATTGTTGTATATGTAATTGAAACAACTAAATATATAAAGAGAAATAACATCAAAGTTATATAGGTATATATATGTACTTGTATTTTAAATTCGGATCCTCTTTTAATTCTTTTAATTTTATCATCAAGTTTTGTCTTAGCTTTTCGTTTAATATACTTGTTTAAGTCATTCCATGTGTCTTTATTGTAATCGGAAATATCATTTACAAATTGAAAATTGTTATCGAAATCCTTATTTTCCTTTTTCTTTTGTTTCCTAGGCTGAAACTACATTAATTCGGAAATTTTTATTTTTCCAAAATAAGAATCATACAGTAAACAATCATCTTTCTAATTGAGTAAAGTTGTACTATTTAACCTAATATAATTTGTTAAATTATGTCTTACATCATCTTCGACATCAGAATCTTCAGAGAAATTTGGCACTTCCTGATCATCTTCGATTGTTTTTATTAAATCACAATTAGTATCCATTTTCAACAACAAATACACATATTACAAAACCATGCACAATTCCTAATACTTCAACCACGTGGAACATCTACTGTATATATGTAAGTATGTAGTAACATCTCTCTATATGTATATATATGGATGTATATGTATATGTATATAAATAAATATATATATATATATACTTATATATATATATATATATATATATATATATATATATATATATATATATATATATATATATATATATATATATATATATATATATATATATATATATATATATATATATATATATATATATATATATATATATATATATATATATATATATATATATATATATATATATATATATATATATATATATATATATATATATATATATATATATATATATATATATATATATATATATATATATATATATATATATATATATATATATATATATATATATATATATATATATATATATATATATATATATATATATATATATATATATATATATATATATATATATATATATATATATATATATATATATATATATATATATATATATATATATATATATATATATATATATATATATATATATATATATATATATATAATACCGATATATACCGATACGAATTAGAAAATTATAATTATATAAGTTTCCACTAATAATATCATAAACAAATTATAACGAAATACGTATAATATGTATAGCTTATTATTCATTAAATTAGCATCTTAATTTCAAATATACACTAATGGCATATGAATTCAATTTGTTGAATCTATTATACGCAATTTTATGATTTCATTTTAGCTCTTATACTCAACATAAAAAGATGTATAAAATATGTGATATTGAAATATTATATAATAATAGGATAAATTTGAGTATCAAATAATTTGTATTAGAAGAGGTATTAGCAGGTATTAGTAATTTCAGTTTTAGTAACTTTAATTTTCTCACATTGGATGAACAGTATGCTTATTCTTATTACAGCGTTATTACAGCGTAATATTGGCGCGAAACTTCTTATGTTACGCGTTTCTTTTCGATTCCACGTTTCGCACATTATTGGACTAACTTTAACGCGAGTGATTGAATGATTGAGTGATATTACCATGGGCATTTTAGGTTTATCAAAATTAATAGCAGATATAGCACCAAGTGCTATTAAAGAACAAGAATTAAAGCACTATTTTGGTATGTAGATAATCAGGATAATTCGGAATTTTGAATCATTTAATTATCAAAATTAATTATGAAAGGAATATTTTACATTTTCACTTTCCATTCTAGGTCGTAAAGTAGCCATAGATGCGTCTATGTGTTTATATCAATTTCTTATTGCAGTACGGAGCGAAGGAGCTCAGCTTACATCTGTAAATGGTGAAACAACAAGGTATATATTTTGACAAATAATTACATATGAATACATATTTTGTATTACTTTAATATTTTTTATATTATAGTCATTTAATGGGTACATTTTATCGAACAATACGTTTAGTAGAGCAAGGAATAAAGCCTGTATACGTGTTTGATGGAAAACCACCGAACCTGAAAGGTGGAGAATTAGCAAAACGTGCTGAAAGAAGAGACGAAACACAGAAGTTGTTACGAGCAGCAGAGGAAGCTGGTATTTCTAAATATTAGATTATTTCATGTTAAAAATGATTTGTGTTTTTTCTTCATTTGATTTATTATATAGAATGTCTGGTAACCATAAGTTATCACAATACAGTTGAATGGAAGGTGATTCTACATTAAAAGCTAAATTGAAAATATACAATAAATGTTTTTCATATGATGCTTTCTTTCTGGGAAAGTTTTGAAATCAAGTTTGAAAATTTGACAAGTATACTTGGATTAATTTCAGGTTGAACAGGAGTCAAACTGCACGTAAAAATAGAACAAAAATATAGCTTTGCTTTTGAGAAGAGTAGATTTAAAAATGTATCACGTGTATGCACTGGACCAGTTCTTTACTAAACATGTTCAAACTTTATTTTCTTGTAAATGGGGCATATTCCTTTAAATGGAAAAATTCCATTTCACATTTTTGCCTTATTTTCGCATGTAGAATAACCTGCTACTGATTATTTATTCATATTTAGTTGATACTTAGTGAAATTCAAGTACACTCAACAAAATTTCAAGCTTGACTTCCTCGGAAACAAAGCGTTATATGAAAAAATTTTATTGTGTACTATCAACTTATTTTTTCACGTATAATGACTTCTTATAATCAGGGTCTTCTTAGGTCACAGTTTTGAATTGTACCACCAGTTGCAGAACACCCTGTATATGATAATTACGTCAATTTATATATCATATTAAAAACTTATGTCATTTTCTAGGAAACGCAGAGGATATAGAGAAATTTAACAGAAGATTAGTAAAAGTTACAAAAGAGCATGCAAAAGAGGCTAAACAGTTATTGCAATTAATGGGCATTCCTTACATTGATGTAGGTAAAACAAGGCGTTATAAATTTTACTGTAATACATATATTGATTTTATAGGCTCCATGTGAAGCAGAAGCTCAATGTGCTGCTTTGGTAAAGGCTGGTAAGGTCTTTGCAACCGCTACAGAAGATATGGATGCGCTTACTTTTGGATGCAATGTTTTACTCAGGCGATTAACATTTAGCGAAGCAAGAAAGATGCCTGTACAGGAATTTCATTTTGATAAAGTATTAAAAGACCTTGGATTAAATCATGATGAAGTATGTAAGATCGATACCTTTATTGTATACAAGATATAAATAAAAATATTTATTTTCTGGCCATTAATAACTTGTTATTTCTGCTTATTTACAGTTCATTGATCTTTGTATAATGTTAGGTTGTGATTATACAAGTAGCATTAAAGGAGTTGGACCAAAAAGAGCTATAGAGTTAATTAAAACACATAGGTCACTTGAAAAAATTGTTGAAAACTTGGATACTAAGAAGTTTCCCATTCCTGAAGACTGGAATTATAAAGAAGCTCGATTATTATTTCAAGAACCTGAAGTAACAGATCCTGAAACGATTGATGTAAGTATAACATTCTATGTATAGTATAACATTTGTAAATGATTGGAAATATTTATAAGCATTTTAATTTTTGCATAAGCTGAAATGGACAGAACCAAATGAGGAAGGGTTAGTAAAATATTTATGTGGCGATAAGCAATTTAACGAGGAAAGAGTAAGGAATGGTGCAAAAAAATTATATAAAGCACGAAATACTTCCACTCAAGGAAGGCTAGATACATTCTTTAAAGTATTACCAAATCCAAATCCTCAAAAGCGTAAAGTAAATATAAATAACGGTTTTTAAGATTACACATTTTTTTTTAATCTACTAAATTTATCATATTTTAAAACAGGCAGAAGACACAAAGGGAGCTGCTAAAAAAAATAAGAAAGGAACAACAGGAAAACCACGTGGAAGGCAGCCAAAATAATTGTTCAAAGTACTCATACTTTTTTCATTTTTATGAGTGCTATATACTGAATCATTTATAATATTCAACATATAAAGTCATTATAAATAATTCTGAATGCATTTAGATAGTTTCATATTTATTTCATAAAATAAATTATAGACATTCGAGTAATATTTTTCATTTTACATACATCGTCCAATATTCATGACTTAACTTGTACACCCTGTTACATAATTCCTTTTCATTTATGTATTCTAGTAAATTACAATTTGGAACTATATGAATTATGTAATTACGTATATAAAGTAAATTTTATTACAATATTTATTCAGTCTTGGTTTTTGCACCATGTGTATTTATTGTACAGTTTTATTAGGTGTATAGAGATTATTTTAATGTTGGACGGTATTTGGCAGTGATAGGAGATAGGGATGTTGTTTATAGTATGTATTGATAAAAGAAACTGCGATATTTATATAACTGAAAACTTTTATACATATAATATTCAATTGTCACTGAAATGTTATTATAGTACTGCCGATAGCATTGGGATCTAATATATGATACAATGCTTGTTCAATATTATGAGGTCCATACACCCTGTCTACAACCATCTGTAATTGATCAGCATCAACTAAATCGCATAGTGCTTGTAAGTATGTTGCGTTAATCTTTGAACCTTCTTTCCATTGATGCATATTAAATCCAAGCACGTACTAAAATAAATATCGAATTTGAAATCAAATTGAACAATAGAAAAATACTACGTATATAATTTCATTTACCTGTATTAGTAACTTTATTCGTACACATCCAGCAAATATGCTTCCAAATACAAGACCTAACGAGTCAGACGTTAATTGTTCGGGAACTGTAGAGACATAAAAGCCATAAGATGCTAAGTGCTGCTTTAGTATACGTTCATTAATTGGTTGACCCCCAGTATAAAATATAGTATCAAATCTAAAAATTTATTGATCGCTTAACACAAGTAAATTTAATATATCGTTAAATAATTGTTATATTGAACGTACTTATCATGTAATTGTAACTCTTTTTCTATATCTGAATTGTCTAATGGTATAACATCGTCTGCTCCTAAAGCTTTTGATACAGGAATTGCATTCTGTTTACACATTGTAACTACATGTCCACCCCATAGCTTAACTAATTGAGTTAAAATACAACCAACAGGTGTATTTCCACCATATATAAGTACTCTATAGGATATTTACTTTAAAAAGTAATTTCTACATACATATAATAATAAAACTATTTGTTTATCTGCAGTCGGACCCCCTATAACGCAGACTAAAAATAATACCACGGTCCCCGTACAACGTGATTAAGAGTTGAAAATGCAAAAATAGTTAATACTGTTGAGCGATAAGAAGGGGTTGTTTACAGTGTGTATCGTGGAACGTATGTTATTTTTTCATATTAAGAAAAGACTACAGATTTATTTAGTTATAGTTTCTTGCGTTCTTGGATTCGAATAACGCGTAGTCCGTATAACACGGAAATATATCTCGCTTTATAGGGGGTCCTACTGCAATTATTTATACCGTTTCCCTTTCGCATTGCCTTCCTGGATCGCAGATCTATTAACTAAAGCATCCCAGGCTAAACATCCATTGTAGGGAAGACTTGCAGATGCTTCAAAGGTAAAAAGTTT